AAGATTCAAAGATACCACCATTGACTATGATACATATATCTGCAATTACGTGATGATATTTTATTTTCTTTAATTTATGTGACAATTCTGTTGTTATATATATATATATATATATATATATATATATATATATGAAGTTTGAGATATTTGATGAAATATCTGTGAAAAGCATAAGAACCAACACAGTGAGAAAAAATTACTGTTTTAGTTTTTAATAGCTCGCAAAACAATTCTCCTTAATTAACGTCTGTTGTAAAACTACGTAAATAAGTCCAAAGTAATCAACATAAACAAAGTTCTACACAACAATAATCGTTTATTTTAAATTAGTATACTTTTTTTTATATTGTTATTCAACTCAAGAAGATTGCAGATTTTTATAATTAATAATTATTCTAAAGATAGTTCTATTATTGATTGTATAATTTTTTTTAATGACATTATGAGACCATTACACAAAAAAATGTTTACATATTTTTTAAAATTATAATATTAATTATTCCAACAAGGAATTGATATTTGGGGTATATTCTAACCTTTGAATTTGAGTTGAAAACTGACTCCAAACCGACTAAACATTTTTGCCCCGTCGACATTATTAAAATTAGTTATGATATTTAAAATATGGTACATAATTTATCGTGTTATTTAAAAATTATCAGCCAAGAAAATTGTTTAATTTGATTTATTAATTGAGTGATAAATTATTTTTAAATTGACTTGTTTATCATCAATAGTTAAACCCTGTATTATAAATTACTAATCTTATAGCTAGTAAGAAAATGGACCTGATTAGGTATATGGGTTGGGAACATGGAACTATATTTGGGCTTGGGCTCAATAGTTTTCAGAACTATTGGGCTGTCCATCTACTATGGCCGACTAGTTTGAATTCATAAGCCATTGATATTCCATAATTACAACTTGCAATGTAAAATACTATAAAAAAAGTTTTTAATTTTTGTGGTTTGACTAGACTGAGGACAACCATATCTTAAAATCAGAACTATAGAATAATTATTTAGTTTAAAGATTTTGGTTCTTCCTCTGACATAGTAATAGAAATTGTGTAGACATAAACCCTGCTATATTTTAATCTCCTTTACCTAACTCTGTATTAATATTTCGAAAATCCTTTCTAGAATAAAAACATGTTCTTTCAGAAGAGCATACTATGAACATAAATTAAATAAACTCTTAACATCAAAAGGAAAAAGGTAGAAAAGTAGAGAGACTCATTCGCTTATAACATTATCCCAAATGGTTTTCTTTTAATAAAGGGGAAAGATTAAAATATTTAAAAGGGGTAGGTAGAGTGTTTTAGTCTTAACTTTAATTAATGTAATATTTTTTACAACAGTTTTCCAGCAAAGCACAGATTATTATTTGTTCTGGTCCGTTCAACCTTTTATAGAGCAATTTTTCTTCCCACCTTCGTTGCATATAACTTGTAGCACAATTTCTATTTTAAGATTTTCTAACCTTTGATAATGATTTTAATAATATAGATTATCAAAGGCAAAACTGTATATCTAGATAGATACACAAACCATTTTACAGACATGGATCCATTGTTTTATTCTGATCTTGTACTTTTCTTCTAGTTTATCATTCCCCTGTGTGAAGTTAGTCTTATTCATTGAATAAAGTTCATAAACAAAAAAAAAAATCTAATCATGACATCACTTACGTGAGAAAGAAACCGCATCCAGTGAATAAATCATACTGGTTAACATGTTTACACAATCAAAATTTAAGGCTTGGAGTGTTTTCTTTTAATGTTTTACCGACTTGTCAACACCATTTTTATGGAAGACACCATGCTAGTTATACGTCATTTAGTTTGACTAAGATATATAGACTGTTGTTGTGTAGTTGATCATTAAACAAGGCCTCTGACATTGTTCTCCGGCAAATTAAGGCCCCTCTCAGATTTCTGTCATGCCTCTTTCTTTTGTTCCACTTTCTTCTTCTCTCATAAACACCCTTTTCTTCTTCTCGCTCTTATTCCCAACTTATGCATCTAGTGATGCTGAACAGTACGCAGCATGTGAGCCTTTTAGCTGTGGGAAATTCAACAATATTAGGTACCCATTTTGGAGTAAGGACCAGCCAGGCTACTGTGGCCATCCAAAGTTCAAGCTTGATTGCCAACAAGACAACGCGACAATTGACATCATGTCACAGACATTCCAAGTCATTCACATGAATAACAAATCCAAGGTTTTGACGATTGCAAGGTTGGATTTATTGGCCGACCCTTGTACTAAAGATTATGTGAATGTGAAGTTGGATCCTGAGTTCTTTATCTACACTTCTAACGATGATGAGTACACTTTGTTATATGACTGCGGTTCTCATGGATATACGTCTGGTAGTGTGAATATTGGAGGAGCAATAGCATTTAATTGCCCCATTGGTGGTCAAAATGCATTTTTTGTGAAGAATACCGAAGTGGTTAATCTCATTAGTCTGGGGTGCAAGAACAGCATCAATGTTTCTGTTCTAAGAGAAGCTGTGAAGAGTGATTCGGTTGTGGGAAATGTTTTAGCAAGTGGATTTGAGGTTGGATGGAGTGGTGTGAACGAAGATGAATGTGATGGTTGCACAAAAAATAGTGGGAGATGTGGATACAATTCATCTACGAGTGGATTTATCTGTCTCTGCCCAAATCAGCAATCAGATGCTGAGATTTGCAAACAAATCATAGCAAGGTCTCCAGAACCAACACCCAGAGTAACACCAGCAAAATCACAGTCACCCCCTTACTCTCAAACATTTCCAGAACAGTCTCCAGAGTCTCCACGTGCTCCGAGTATGTTTTCTTCCATCTTTTGTTTAGATTAAGTTCTCCAACTATATAATCTTATTCTTTTGAATGGTGGCATTCAACTTTTTCTGAGCATCCAAATACCTTGCATGCTTGTTTAGATACAAGTTGAGAAGTTAAATTCGCGTTTAGGATGTGAAAGACAGCAGAGTTATAAATACCATAGCTTCTTAATAAGCGTAATAAAATCATATCTGAAAGGTGGAATCAAACAGTTATTCATCCTCTCTGGTTTAGGTAGCTAGTTTCACATTCTAAACATGGAATGGATCTGCTAATTTGGTTTGCGTGTTAGGAATAGTTGTTTGGTCAGAATAGTTCCCTTTGATTTTTTTCCTTCATTCTGTTCAAAACTTTTATAATATAGATCGAACTATTGAAGACTGCGTTATGAGATAACGTGTCAAATTTTATAATGCCATATTTCGGTTCCCTAAGGGCGTGTTTGCCTTTTGTTGACTTTTATATAATAACAAAGTGATAATAACGAGTATAGGTTTTTAAAAGTCTGCATATAACAATATGGTAATTTTGGTGATTAGATGCTACAATCAACAATGAATTGTCCATTGAAGATGACAGCATCAACAGTTACCTAATCAGTATAGCTCACTAACTTTTTATTATAATTTTTGCAAGGAAGGCACTTCTTCCAAGGTGATCCCTTGATTCCAAATACCCCGCTTTTTCTCTGTTTCTCATTCTCAATTTCCTTGAATTGCTTAGAGTCTTGATTATGAATATAAGGTCCATCTAGGTCAATGGTCATAGACCTTTACTGAGTATAAAGGTTTAGACTTTAGAGATGGGTCGAGAAAGAACTTAAAAGAGCTTTGCTTTTTGTTTAAAGAATAAAGATGATGTTTCCATTATAAAGAACAACCACATCCTTTCACACGTTGTTGGATACATTTTGATTTATAGAAATAAGCAAAATTAGAATGGCTGGTTTATCGTAGAAGTCACTAACCACAAGTTTAAAACGGTAGGTATTTGGGAAAAATAAGACATCTCAGTAAATAGAGTAGGCCCGGGACTAGAAAATTACAATTAGCGAATTTGTAAAGAAAATAAATTAATTTCGGCAACATATTTTTGAAGATACGATGTGTTGTGTCCATCAGTAACAGTAACAACACATGTTTCTGCAACATGTAACTCTTCCCTACATGACCAAATGACCATAATGTATTCTATACCTATATCTACCCCCACCTTGCTTACATCCACAGTGACTCTCTTCTTGTTAACATTTTGCCACAATGCCCCTTTCAAATACTTCATGCGTAACCCTCATCAACCACCTGGAATCAAGACAGTGGAAAACACCTACATGGGGGTGTTTCTTTAATCCTCAGTGGTGGATTCTTTCGTGAAGAGTGAGTTGAAAATTAAGGGTTTTGAGCTTTGAGGTGACTAGAAAGGAAGCGCACGATCGTCTCAAGTTGAGGAAATGCTCTGTTCTCGCTCTCATTTTCCTAGAATTGCTCTTCAATAGGCTGAGATTTGAGAGATTGGTCGAGAAATGACTTCTTAACGTAAAAAGTTTCCATCATCTGAAAGAACCATTCCCTTTCACATGCATCACACTGCTTATGAATAAAAAATATGAGAAATGGCGGAGGATTTCTAATAGTCGTCTTGAGAGAGGGTGGGTCACAACTTTAATTAAATGTTAACAGATTTGGGAAAATTGGACGGCTGGAAAATAAGACAGGCCTACAACAAGATATCATACCTAAATATTTACTACAGATGAAATCTCTGTAGAATAATCTAATTTCCAAACCTTTTGTTAGAACTGAAGTAACAAACAGAAATGACGCGTGGCTGATGTGTAAATTCATACTCTTTGAACGACAGAACATATTAACTTGGTAGTATACTGATATACAGAGAAATCTAATTAAAAAAATTGACTAAAAATTATTTCAATAAGCATTGACCTACAAGGGAGAAAACAAAAGTAACTAACAGAGCTTATTCCCTAATTCTTTCAATTTTGGGAAGAGGAGACTGGGTTCGTGTTTTTTGGGGAATGTTGCAATGTATGGTTTTGGGAGGAAAAATTAAGAGGAAGAGGAGGTGGTTCGTGGGAGAAGTGCGAAGAGCTTCCATAGCTTTCTTTTATGAGAAGAGAGGGTTTATGAGGAACTGAGAAGAGTTGAGGATGGATCATAAACATACTCACTTCCACACCACTCCCCTTGCCTTCGCACTCACCGTCTCTTGCTTCCTCTGCATCGCTTTGCCATATTCCCACTCTCAACCATCTCCACCGTCACCGCCACCTCCACCTCCACCGCCCCAACTTTGTTCTCATCAGTTATATTGGTGCAACATAAGAGTCTCCGCCATCTTCGATCCTCCCTGGGAAAAGATTCCGCCCTCTCAATGTAACGGCGCCGACCCATCATCCCTGCTCAGCTGCCATAGTGGCTATGGATCTCAAAATTTCACAGTGAAGGATATCGACAATACCACTCACACCATGAAAGTGATGCCAAGAGCCCCTGTCAACCAAGTCTGTTCTTCTCAATTTTTTGACGGCTACCAGAACTTCGATTACGACAACTTCAAGGCTCTGCTCCCGTATAACGCACCACTGCATAAAATCATTATATTTGAACATTGTCCTACAATCCCAAAGTTCCCTTCAAAACGAAACTTTACGTGCGGGGATGTTCTGTATTATTTTGAAGAGGGGTACACGGAAAAGGAGATGCTCGACAGATACCCACCGCTTAAGGATTGCAAGGGGGAAACTTTTGACGTGCCAGCTGCCCGTCCTCTGGATCATTACAAGGATACTGATGACGGTGCTGGAGTTCTGGAAGAAGCTCTCAATGATGCGTTTGAGGTCTACTATAGTATTCCTGATGGTTGCACAAGATGCAGTGAAAGTGACGAAAGTTGCTCTGGTTATGATGAACATGTAGTTTCATGCAACTACTATTGCCTAAATGAACAGTGTTCTCCCGAAAAAAGTAAGTCTTCTCTCTGTTTTTTCAATTTTCCCTCGTCGCTTCTCATGTCTTACATATCAATGCCACAAAATCCTCTTTTTAGGTACCCACTTCCCATCCTCGCTCTGTAATCTATTACTATCGTATTCAGCACACATTTTTCATTCGACAATTACGACAAAATTAGTACAACAAAAACTGCAATTCGACCAACCCACTCTTACTCTCGTCCTCAAATTTTCAATCTCCACCACCCACTCACCGATCATCACTTCCTTTTTATTTTTTAAAAAAATTCCTTTTTTTCTTCACAAATTATCATCTTTCTTTTAGAATGACTTATATCCTTCCTCCCCGGTTTCTTTCCCCACCAACTCCCATAAAGCAGGGCTTTTGCATTCTTAGTATATCAATTGTTCTCACTCGGCTTCATCAACCCAAAAACAAAAACAGAGTGGAATTACATCAATTTCGATTGGATTCTTCTTTATCAGTATTCTGGGACACTTATGAAAAGAATTTCGAAGAGTTATGTTTAATTAAACATTA